TTTTCACCCCCTTAAAGTATGATTTACGGAATAAAAACTATCCTATGTCCTTTCCAGGGTCTCAAACTATCTTCATACCAAATTTCATCTAAATCGGTTCAACGGATTAGGCGTGAAAAGGTAACAGACAAACAGAAAGATAGATTTACTTTTGCATTTAATATTAGTATGGATAATAAAGCCGGTATTTTTGTTACTTGAAGATATTTTAATATTTATAACAGTAAATATTAAAAAATTTCAGCTAGAACGATGAATAAGGATACATAATTAAAACATTTAAGATGAAAAATACTTTTAAAAAGCTAAATCTAATTATATTCTGTAGTGAGGCACTAATGCTAGTACTGGTTCTCTTAAAGCGAATAAATTGAAAACATCAATCACCTGTCGCCAAAACGTCTACGGCTAACACGAAGATGTATCTTTCAATCTCCTTAAAGAAGTCAAATTTGGAAAATCTCCCAAAATAACTTGGCTTTACTATGTTAATACAGTTTCATAAAGAATATTTATATCTTAATTTCTCTTTTACTACTTTTTTTAAATCAAAATAAAATAGATTCCTCAATTTTCATATAACTTTAAATCCGCCGGAATATCTGAGAAAGTTTCATCTGAAGTCTTACAGTCTGAAAGTATTTCATAAGCCATCGGCACTAGTCGTCATTTCCATGCTGGAACGTGGCCAATTTTATTGATGATGTTTTCTAAAGAATTATATATTTAAAATTTTAAAAGAAGTAAAATTTATTCCTGTAACTTAAAAGTTTGCATGAATAAAAGTGAATAAGATATTTCAAGATTTACTTGGTATGACTTGCCCTAACATCACAATTTCTCCGAAAGAAATCTTTGCCAGTTTAAATTATATTGAATTTTCAAATGTTATAATATCTACAATAATGCAATTTTTATTTAAAAAAATTGATCGTATTTAATACATAGTCAGTAGTCACCTCAAAACTTGTCTTGCAGTGATCTAATTAAATTTTGTATCAGTAAAAAAAGGTTCTGCATCAACACAAAGTAAATCTATATACAAGAGAGGAGAGAAACAATAGTTTAAAATCCACGTTTATGTGGCTTAAGCGTAACTTTAAAAAAACTTACGCTGCGTGCACGTAGGTACTATTTCCTATTGTTATAAAATGCACCATAACCTCCAAAATATGACGAATAGTCACAAAAAACTTTAAAGTAAAAAGATGATCATCGCTCTAGAAGCTTTTATAACAAAAAATCTCGAATTGTTTCAAAACAGAGACGAATACGCGCCAGTTTGTTCGTGGCATCTATCATTTTTTACAATTGTGTATTTCAAAGGGCGAAAATAATCGTTGTGTGAATAAAGAAGACAATTTGCATCAGCAATGAAAATTTAATGCTAAAAGAAAAGCTATGCTAAAAATTATGTTGATTAAAAGATATTTCAGGTAAATATTCAAAAACAAAGGGGAAAAGGAAATATAATTATAGCATAAAAACGATTTCTTTTTTTAGACTTAAATAAAAATATGCTACCTTTTTATTGGATTTTATTCCAAAGGTACAGAGTTAACATGTCTAATCTCAAGAGTCATATTAAAAATGTTGACTGAAATATAATTAAATAATCTCGAAATTCGGTTTCGGTGGATGATCGGGTAGGGTTTCGCGCATGCTCAGTGAGGTCCCTTGCGCTCTGCCCCGACAAAGCAGGCTGACGACGCTAACCGAGCGCGCGGCTTGTCGCGTCACGTCCTAAATTCTCAATCCTGACTCGACTCGAACATAAATCGATATTTATTCGATGAAATTAACCAAATCTACTATACACAACAATCTACAACTCAATATTTTAGTCACCCCGCGATACCAATGTTACTGCGAAAAGTAATGTTACGATGAACTTCTTTTGTGGTTCGTGTTTGTGAATAATGTTAACGTGTACATAATATAATTAAAGGATTTTATGAAGATGATAGCCTGTGTTGCCCACGTTTTCGAGGTGTTTGAACTTTAATCCTTAGACAGGTTTGTACACTGAAGTCATCAATTCTCATCCCTCACTGACTCCATTAATTTTAATTACTTACCTCAGTCAGTTATTTACACATTGCTTCTTTTTATATATGACAATAATTTTTAAGTAAAACATGGATAGCTTTATATATATTTATGATCGAATTCTAATAAAATGTCACAACTATAGATTAACATTGAATCATAACAAGTGTACCTAACATTTCTTATACTATTGTGCATGTTAACTTATTACTATTATATGTTATATAAAATTTGCATGCTGCTATAAAAAATGTTGAGATTTCATGTAAAAAATAAACAAGTTCAATTTAAATAACAAGTAATTAAAACATAAATAAGGTTATGAATTAAAAATATGTTCTCCATGATAGTGGCGAATAAACAATTTTTCAATTCCACATAAGCTTCGTAATTCTTCGTAATCGTGTTACACAATGACCATCATGAGATAGATGAATTTCCTAAATAATAAAAGATCAAAGACATTCTCATCGCCGTGATGGATTTTTTCCACGTCGATTGCTCGATTGCCCGTTTGAGGTGAACGCTTTCTTAAGTAATATATTTAATAGAATTACGCTTATAGTATAATAATAATTTCATAAATCATTAGTTTTATGCCCCAATCTCTTTAGAAACGAAAGATAATCGATAGTTTAACTTGTTAAAATTTAAATTTCAAGTAAAAATCTGATATCACTAATAATGACTTATTATTACACCTATGACTGTTTCTAAAAGCTAATAAATAATAATGAACACGAATAATGCACAATTCTATAATAATTAATATAAAAATGTGAGAGTAAGTTTGTGTCTTTTCATCTTTTTCGCGCTTAAAACCGCGTAACAGAATTCGATAATATTTGCCAAGGACATAGATTGCATCGTGGAAACGGATATTGTCTACCTTTTGCCTATGTGAGGGGAACCGCGGGCAAAAGCAATATATATATATATATATATTTAGTTAGTATTATTATTCAGTTACTCATTATTTGCCATAATCAAATTATAAAGCATTAATTTTATTATATTTTACCATATAAAAATGTGATTTTAGTTTATTCATATAGATTAAAGTAATTAAAAGTATCGTTAAAATTAGTATTAAATCTTGAAAGTTTATAAATAACACCGATATGTCATGTCTTTCAACATTTGTGTTGCAACAACAATGCTAAATAATAATGACAAAGAAAAGTGTTTAAATACAAAAATGGCGAAATCGTTCAGACAAGGACAGCACTGAACAGAAATTCGATAGGGTTCGACCGTATCTTGATTAGAAATCTGGAATGGAAGTCGTAATTAATTTTCTCATATTGCTTTAACAGATTGAAGAGGAATTTAACGTTATTAAATTTCCATATTGGTTTAACGTAAGCTATAACAAATTGAAAAATCCAGTTGTTTATTCCGGTCTTTTTAGATACAGGATAGTGAATACTGTAAATTTTACATACATATTTACATATAAAAAAACCGTTTCTGTGACTCATTGACTAGCAAACATTACATAGCTAGACAGAGATACAGCTCAGAGATATGTCTATTCATCACACTTTCATCACAATTACACTAAAAAGTTAAAATAATAAAACCGTTTTTTTGCTTCCCAGTCACTTCCCATGTTAGAATTTTTCAACATTGATTGTTTTTACTTACTTAGTACTTATATAAAAAGCCATGACACCTCTCCCGTCATACCCTCTGCCCACCCATCCCTCTTCCCTTCTCCCTAGTTCAGAATGACTCGCAAAAATAAAATGACCTAGACTTTTATTTATCTGTGTCTACTAAAAGAAAAAAATCTATCAGTCAACTTAGAATTTTTAAATCCATATAAATAAAAATGAATGTTGCTAAGCGCAAAACTCCAGAACGGCTCGACCAATTCAGTTAATTTTTTTTCGTATGTTCCTTATGGTACACGGAAAGTTCTAATACAGAGATAAAATATAATATATTGTTATATATATATATATATATATATATATATAAAACAAAGTCGTGTTAGTTACACTATTTATAACTCAAGAACGACTGGACCAATTTTTATTATATTTGATTTTTTGGATTTCTCTTAGTCCGGAATAGGATAATAAGTATTAAGACATCGAAAAATTAACGAAAAAAAAAATTTATATGGCTGACGCTGGCTAATAACTACCTATTATTATATCTATTCAAAACCTACCTAGCGACGAACCCGAGCGAAGCGAGGGTGAGCCGCTAGTCACTAATAAAAACGGTTGAAATTTACAAAGAATATTTAGAATAGCGTTAGCCAGAAAGTGAATACATAAAAAAAATTAACAAATAAAGAAAAAGAAGCCTTTACTGGGGCGTAAAAGATTAAGTAAGTATATAATATATAAAAAATAATTGTATAAGTTACGTAATATGAATATTACAAATGTTTTTGCCTCAACACATATCAAAGCCAAACTTGTATTTGCCTTCCCAAATATCATGTTCATCACATATTTACTCGCGTCATAGATATCTTATTCATGTTGACATCTGAGCTGATTCTAAGCAAGCTTTGTGAATTAATAAAAATATTCGTACTTATTATTTTATAGAAAACTTTTTATAGCTTTATTATTTATATAAATATACAGAAAAAATAAAAGAATAATTATATAACAGGTATGTATGTAAAATTATAACGAGGTCAAATTTTTAATTTTTCATCTTCTATAAACCTTGAAGTACCCGTTCCACGCGGTTCCATATAAAGTAGGAGTCATAACTAGTGGTTGTTATCTAAATAGAAATTCACACGTAATTAAAGTCACGGGTCATGTAGAGAAAAAGATTTAAATAATTTGTATAATTTTCATAGTTTTTGCAGGAAATTATTGTTTTTATTTTCTGCTATTAGTACAGAAATCTAATTACTTTTGATTCATTTAGGTAGAAACCCATTTAAAAGTTTAATGCAAATAGTTATTCGTTGTTTCAGAATGAGAGGGACTAAAGCCATTTTCCTCGTTTTATTGTTCGGCCACCTCTCTGCTCTACCAGATACAATTCGAATAGGTAAGTCCAGGACTACAATTAGAAATTGGATCACTCGGAATGCGTATTTTATTTATAAAACATGGTAGTTTTCAGACTTGTTTAAAAAATTTTATTCCAAAAAAAAGCTAACATTTGCATTTCTTGCTCGTATAGCATTGAATTTACATCAAAGGAAACCATGAAAAATGTTGTCGAAATACGGTAAAGGGAGCGTCGTTCATTTTAAAGTGTATATGCCTCTTTTACCCCACATTCGGGTCATCTTGACCTAATATTTTAGACCAGTTGATGTTCATAGTGAAATATTTAAGAAATTTAATTAAATGAATATGGCATTTTGTAATATAAAACACAAAATGTCAAAAAAACATAACATAATGATTTTATTTGTTTCTTAATCTGAGTTCACTGATTTGGTATTGGTAATTACAATTTTACTAGCCTTAATGCCTTTCGTCTACAGCAACCAATGCATAATTAATCGATGTAGTTTTATATATCATAGCTAACTTACGTGAAATAACAACAAAAAAATCACAACAGGGGGTCTTTTTCATCCTGAAGATGATAAACAAGAAGTTGCATTCCGCTACGCCGTAGAAAGGGTGAACGCAGACCGCGCTGTGTTGCCGCGAGCCAAATTACTCGCCCAAGTAGAAACAATATCGCCACAAGACAGTTTTCACGCATCTAAACGAGGTTTGCTCTTCAATCACAAAAATCACGACCAAGATATAAATTAAAATTATATAGTCCTGAAAGTGTAGTTAAAATAAAATAAACTAATTAATGCTATGTATTTGGTATACTAGCTTTTCTTTAGTAACTTTATTTAACGAAAGGGTTAAGGGAATTGCTTACACTCAAAAGTTTTAATACTTAAAAAGATATTTATCATATAAAATGAAATATGATTTATTGACAAATTACTTATATCAAATATTGTTATACTAGATATTAAATTATAAATATGCTTGTAGTATGTCATCTTCTAAGAAGCGGTGTCGCAGCTATTTTTGGACCCCAATCGGCCCCCGCGGCAGCACACGTACAATCTATTTGTGACACAATGGAACTGCCCCACTTGGAGACGAGATGGGACTATCGTACTAGACGCGAGTCCTGTCTTGTTAACCTCTACCCACATCCCGCTGCACTTAGCCGAGTAAGTGGAGTGATAAACTAGATTTTGTGACCTCAACTCAAGGATAATGTCGCAATGCGTCTTAAATGACCAGTACCTATGGGAATTTATCGGTTTTACATTTCTCTAGACTCCACATAGATGATGTCTCTATATTACATATACTTAATTTCAAATCTGGTATATGATGTTTTACATAATATAATTCAATATTATTTTGTATAAACATGATATACAATATTTTTATATTTCTATGTATGTTAGCCCTTCTTATACTTTTGATATATAATTATAAATTAAAAAAACCTCCTACGCAAATTAATTGACATTTAACGATTACACTGACACGCGTGAAGCACTTAATCGAGTAATCATACGCCAAAATGTATTACATCATTTTGGAAAAGAACTGATACTCTTACACTGCTGGACCGTAATTAACCAAACATAGCTAAGAACCACCGCAAGGAAACTGGCTTTCAAATGAAAAAAACCGCATCGAAATCAGTCCATCCGTTTGACAGCTACGATGACACTATATAACACGCCTTTTTTTGCGTCGGGGGTTAAAAACCGAAAATTGTTATATAAAATAAGTTTTTTAAACTATAATACCATTTTTCCATATTTAAATTTTATAGCATCTAGCTTTCCGGCAATATACCTAATGTTAACATTTGATTTTAGGCTTACGTGGATTTGGTGCGGGCTTGGGGTTGGAAGTCGTTTACGATAGTTTATGAAAACAGCGATGGTTTAGTACGCTTACAGGAGTTATTGAAAGCTCATGGGCCTTCCGAGCTTCCCGTAGCAGTTCGACAGCTGCCAGATTCACACGATTACAGGTTAACCGAGCAAAATTTAGGGCATGTCTGATTACTCGCTTTCAAATTGTTCAATCTTTTGAAATTCCTCATTTAATAGTTTTTTAATTAAATTTCTTTATAACTGTTCATGTTTCAAAGCTTTAAAAAAATTGTCATAAAAATGCCTAATAAATTATAAACAAAAATGATTGAACTAATTTGAATAACAACTTTAAAATACAATTCAAGGATAAGTACAACATAGTGAAAGGAATTTTCAGGCCTCTCTTGAAACAGATAAAAAATTCAGCGGAATCACATATAGTACTTGACTGTACCACTGAAAGGATACGAGATGTTCTACAACAAGCACAGCAGATTGGCATGATGTCAGATTACCACAGCTACCTCATCACTTCGTTGGTAAGATGTTTAAAATTGTTACTGTGAAACAAAATGAAAAAATATTTCGAGACAAAATTTTAGAATAAAGAAAAATTACGTAAAATATCCTTATAACATACTCGTACATAGCATGTTCATTTATGACATTTAAATTTAAGTAGAATATTCCTTGAGGGCGTACTGAAAACATGTTTTAAAAAGTCACGTACAAGATAGAAAACGTGAATAGAAGCATAATATTTTTGTTAAATATAACTTAAATATAAGCACTTACGTATATACCCATAATTAGTATAAATACGTAATTTGGCAAAGTAAAGTAAAATTGTAAAATCTGAAAAATAAACATACGTAATATGTATTTAGAATACGTATTAGTATAATACTTTCAGTAAGACACCTAAAATGTAAATCTTTTTTTATTGCTTGGCGTTGCAATTACATAATTAGACGTGTCAAAAGCGCGACACACGAACTCTACTTTCAGTTTTTTAAATTAGTATTTTTTAACTGCAATTATAGAGTATATATGACGATTAAAACAACTTGGAAATCGGTTTGTACTTAGTCTATAACTCGTTTGTGAATCATAATAAAAATTATCTAACATATTTTATTAAAAGGCAACGAAAAACTTCAGTAACAAACTTGTAATTTAATACATTTTAACATACTAGTATAAGAATAAAGCATAACATGCATTTATTTACTTATTCTAATCGGCAATGCCGGATAAGAATTCGAAGGACATTAAAGAAACAATATAGAGAAAAACGTTGTCTACATTGTTTCAATTTTGTCGGAGTCGCGGAAACTTTCTCTAACGGTTTTACTAACTAACTAACTTAAAGTGCAGTAAAGAAAATATTTATTCTTTTCCAGAGCGCATTTCTAATTCAGTGTAAAAACATTCCATTCAAGTTTATTAATGGTTTCAGTTAGCACTCTTTACGAATTTCGGATGTGTTGTAGTAAATTCTTTAGAGTTCTCCGCGCATATATAGCGTATAATGTAGCCTGTATATAGGTCATGGCAGAGGGTTTGGTGGCTGGACATGGTGTTTTCACAAAATTTGTTTGGGTATTATTATTTTAACTTTTCAAATTTTATTAACTTCAATCTTTGAGGTTTTATAGAGAAGCGTCGTATTCCATTTTTTTTTGTGGCATTCAATGGGATGATTCGTAATAAAGTTACATTATAAAATCGGTGTATATGTATATAATATGTTATTATAGAATCGATAACAGAAACATGTTCAAGCCTAACCTCGTAAGATTACTATATATTTTAAAAGAATAAAAATGAATAAACAAAATATTATCGTTTTAACCAGGACCTTCACAGCGTAGATTTGGAAGAATTTAAATATGGCGGGACGAATATAACAGCGCTGAGGCTACTCGACCCAGAGCGAGCCGAAGTTCAGCGGGTAGTTCGGGATTGGGTTTACGATGAAGCGAGAAAGGGTCGGAAGCTCCAACTGGGGCATACTTCGTCCAAGGTAATAAAATTTAATATATCTGTAAGACAACCCAAACGTGCGTATAATATAAGTGGATACATTATTTCCTTTGTTTCAGGAAAATATGACTTTTATCAAGGTACAGTATAGCCCGATAAAAACAATATTTAAAGTAACTATTTCATAGATTTACATATATATTTTTTTGATATCCTGTCAATTTAGTGGACTATCACTATCACTAAACAAACGTTTACCGTTTACCATCTTATATTCTAATGTTACTTATTCGTCACAATAATACAGTTAAAGAAGTTTATATTATTCAAGATGGCTGTCAAATCCCATGTAGAGATCCACATTTCATGTGGTCTTATTTTACGCAGTGTTGGTTTTTCGCGGCTACATATTTGACGTTAAAATTTATTTCTCGTATAAATTTTGGGCGCACGTTTGTTAAATTTAACATGATTGAAATAATATTCAACATGCTCTGTTGAATTTTATTTTTCAATTGAAACTGAATTGTAACAAATTGGAATCCTTGCTCAGTTTTCTTATATCTATACTATAATACTCATGGTATTTAACAATAATTTACTGCTAAATTATTAGTCGTTTGGGATACTTTTATGTGACAAGACTAAAATCCCTCACAGACAGAAACCGCATTGATGTACGATGCGGTACATTTATTTGCTAAAGCGTTACACGACCTTGACACTTCGCAACAAATCGATGTTAGACCGCTGTCTTGTGAAGCGGAAGATACATGGCCACATGGATACAGTCTAATTAACTACATGAAAATTGTAAGTACATAGCTGTTTCTACTAAAAAAAAATAATTAACTTTAAGTATTTTTTTTAACATTACCATCAAAAATCATTTCGCAAATAATTATTTTATATATTATATGTATAAAAGTACAGCTGCACGAAAGATACGTATGTTATGAAAAGCGGAAACTTATCAATTTAACTTCCTTCCTTTACTTTCCGCTAAATCTAGGTTAACATGAACTACGCGGTATTTTCACTGTATCTGAATCAAATCCACGAAAACGTAAAATGCTTTGTCAATCTGTGATTCATAATATTATATGTTATCAACCCAATCATAATATAGCTTAGAAAAATATGAAACTTTTCCTCGTTTAATGCGTAAAACAGTCTAATTGATATGAACAAGAGGTATAATAGCGTAGGAGTTTGTACATGTTATTATGGTTTGGATTTAAATACTGTAATGAATTTCTTTTTTTTTTCTTTGCAACATTTTGAATTCTTCCTATTAAATTATTAAATATTACGTTCCCTTAAATTTCATTACATTTAATAATTTTTATAATAACATATTTTATATTGCAAATAAGTCCTCAATATTAAATTAATATGTCTATAATTTATTAAATTTATTATAATAACAGCTCCAAATATTTATATTAAAGTACCTAAGTAAAGAAATTATTTTGTTACATTAATGGACAGGTTGAAATGAAAGGCTTAACAGGAGTTATAAAGTTCGACCACCAAGGGTTTAGAAGCGACTTTACACTCGATATCATCGAACTAACCAGAGAAGGCCTTCAGAAAGCAGGGTCTTGGAATTCTTCGGAAGGTGTTAATTACACAAGATCTTACGGCGATAATCAAAAACAAATAGTTGAGATTCTTCAGAATAAAACCCTTATCGTAACTACAATTTTGGTAAGTTACATACGCTTCAAGTTCTAAAGAATACCACCCAAGTGGGTCGTATCCGCAAAATGAACAAGCTCATATATGAATATATTTCCTATGAAAATGAACAGGGGAATAATATTTTATCATAGATATTTGTTTCAATTCATATAATATTACAATAAAATGGATGGATATCAAAACGTTAGGCTCAAAGTACTTATCCTAATTATGTCAGATGATATTTTAATATCTGATCAAATCGTTACTGTATGTGTTCAATATTATAATATTGTAACGATTGCTTCAAATTGATTACATCTTATAAGACAATCTACAATGCTATAAATACGATGGTATGTACGTATACATATTGGAGTCTTTATTATTTGTAAAACGTACAAAGTTTTTATTATAATGTCCAAAGTTGAATCACATTTTCTCGTACTGGGATATTGTGGAGAGTCATATTGCACGTCAATAAAAATAACTTCAATATATTTTATAGATATTGAATGCTATTGTAGGATAATTGTTAAAATATATATTTACAGTTTATAGATATAGTATGCGTTATTTTTTTAAAAATCTGATAGTCCATTTTAGCTTCATTGAACTGATATACCTATATTTGAAATATCTCGATCTGCTTTAAGAACACTTTCTTAAGGAACAAATTGTACAAAACACCAAATACTTTTACGTTATAACTTACAAGTGCGATAAAAAAATAACTTATATTGAATCTATAAATACTCAGTTTTATTTCTGCACTTAAAGTTTTATGAGACTTTCATGCGGTACTCTACTCTTATTAATAACATCTAATAGATTATTTTGCCTAATCAACAAAAACGGTAATAATTTATATTCATATTGGGTAATTAAATTTGAAACGTACGTTTTATATCATAGAGTGCGCCATATTGCATGCGACGAGAAGCAAGTGAGAAACTAACAGGAAACGCTCAGTTTGAAGGATACGCCATTGATCTCATTTACGAGATATCTAAAGTTCTCGGCTTCAATTACACGTTCAAACTCGCTCCTGACGGTCGATACGGATCTTTTAACAGGGAGACGAAGGAATGGGATGGAATGATTCGGGAGCTTCTGGAACAAAGAGCAGATGTTGCGATCGCCGACCTCACTATCACTTATGATAGGTAACTTTTTGCTATTTTGGATCGAACGTACAAATCTTACCTTGAGCATTATCGTTAGTTGCTTTTTAAAAACTGTGTAATATTTGATTATATGGTATATTAAGATTATTACCAAAATATTAATAACACCAACTATCGCTATCTATATATATGTAAATAAATAGTAAATATATTAAAACATAGTAAATAGTAAATTGTATAATTTTCAATAGTTTGGCCTACGCCTACATTGGCTTAAAATAAAATCTTTATAAAAGAAGAACTTCTTTAAAGTGCTATTAATAAATTTAACTTTTATATAAATTTGTAAATGACATTGATTTTCAGTCTGTTGTTATTGAACATTTGGTAGTTTGGGCTTACAGTCAGGTTTACAGTTTCGCATTAACACGTTAAGTGCGAAGCGAGGCCTTAATCACCCCTGATGCAACTTCCCTGTGGTGCGGCAAGCAAAACAGTGAATTTCTCTGTCGTGCGAATGGCATAGCTTTGGTTTGGTCCAGTGTAGGAAAGAGATAAATATATATTTGAGATCACTAATGGTTCCGGACTCGGTGGTGTACCTACCTTGGTACCGGATGTCTTAGGCCTCGTGCCGCACTGAATTAATATAATTTTAATGCAGTGCGGAACGAGGCTAAAACGTCCCATATCCCCCCTGACCTCGTACCGCACTCAACGCGAGCTTCCCGCGACCAGTGTTGTGCATCAATAGAAAGATAAACCTTATGCATAAACCGTAATCCATTATTTTCCAATAATAAGTCTGTAATAGGTGCCTCTTAATGGTATAGAATGGAACGCTTCGTGCGTGAGTCCGACTCGCACTTGGCCGGTTTTTTTTTTCTTTATGGCGCCTTCAAGCACAATTTAGATTATTTAAAAAAAAATGTATCCTTTGATAGCTTTGTGTTGTTTTGCCAGGTTTTGCCCTTAAAACGATCTAATGAGATATAATTGATCAAAATCGGTCAAGTCGTTGCGTAGTTAAGACAGTTTAAAAACGTCGATATTATTTTTCCCATCACTAATCGCAGCGAAAATTTGCCCTATTTCAGTGCGTTACGAGGTGTATAAGATCCCATATTTTGTTTTGCTAATAATTCCTAAACTAGCCATCAGATCCCGGGGCGACGGTGGATTAGGGTTCATCAATTCACTGTCTATATCAATAAGGACCAAAATTCTCATTTATCTTTGATTTCGCGCCAGAAAATGGATTTTAGTCTGTAAAAGGAGGTGGGGTCTAATAGACCGCGTGTCGCCCTAACGTCTGGTCACGGTACGGGCCGATTATACCTCGTGCCGCAGAAACGGAAAGTATGCAAAAATTGGTGCCGCAGCTAACGTGTTAAAAATATCTATGAATCTGACTGAACCTGAAAGCTCTTAGCCGTTGTCAACATAAATCAGAATAAGACCATTCTCGTTTGTAACTGTGGGAACATTTTGAAATCTATTTTATTGGATGTGACAATTTAAGCCGATAATTTATTTTATTATGACAGGGAACAAGTGGTCGACTTCACAATGCCTTTCATGAACTTAGGCATTTCAGTACTTTACCGAAAACCTATTAAGCAACCACCGAACTTATTCTCGTTCTTATCACCCCTGTCACTTGATGTTTGGATTTACATGGCAACGGCGTACTTAGGAGTTTCCGTGCTTCTGTTTATACTTGCTAGGTAAGTTTTGCGTTAAGTGCTTGCATAAGCTTAAGAAATACTTGATGAGATTATAATATTTATACAATATGTATTCACCGTGTATATGTGTATATGTATATGTATTACGGAATTTTAAAGTGATATAATACTGTAATTTTGTTTATTGTTTAGAGAAAATGCATTTATTACAAAGATCTTTTAATATAATTTTATATGTGATTATTAAAATAAAAATAATTTAAACATATAATTTTCTGTTTCGTAAATTGAATTGAAGGTGAAGATTTTCTTATAAAACTATTGTATTTTCTTAAGAAATTGATTAATATATTAGGTTCACTCCATATGAATGGCATCAAACTCATACCCCGGACGGTGAAAAAATGGAAAATATCTTCTCTCTATCAAACTGTTTGTGGTTTGCAATCGGATCTCTAATGCAACAAAGCTGTGACTTTTTGCCCAAGTAAGATAGAAAATAAAGAAAATTCTCGGAATGCACTTGTTATTTTCAAGTGCATGCCAAATGTATCAGGATTTTAGTGAACTCAGCGAAGTCCACAGCAAACAATGCGGGTTTATCTGAAAATGGGTCTTGAATCTTTTGCCATTTACCTTAGGTTTTCTTTTTTAAATGGATTAGTTCATTAATGCATTAAAATGTTTTTAGAACAAAACATTTCCACTAATATTTTTGCTTGCCACTTATTTTATTAAATACCTGCAGAAAGTTTTGTTAAAAATTTCACAAATACAATATATTTTATAGCATTAAGCACACAGGTCTAGAGATATTTTCAATATACAAATTATAACTTATAAGTGTAAACTATTAAAACTTATTATGATAGGCAGTTCGATTCTCTCTACCCAAATCATAATTCTATTACATTTTAAATAACTGTGCTCAATTTTAAATTGCAAAACCTTTACTATCCAATAATCTATCGCGTAAAATGGCAAAATATTCAAGGTAAAAAAAATTAAATGGGCATATTTGGGCGCAGGTTCAGCCCGTACGAGTGGGACAGCCGCAACTGTCTCGACGAGCCGCCAGTGCTGGAGAATCAGTTCACGCTGTTGAACTCGCTGTGGTTCACTATCGGGTCCTTGATGCAGCAAGGTTCGGATATCGCACCGAAGTAAGTCACGTAATAAATTGGTGAACCATTCAAATTATTGAATACCAGCAGTGAGTCTGATGGGATTTCTCATCAGGAAATACAGAAGCTTAACTTAAACTTGTATGTTTTTAACATTAAAATAATTTTAATAATTGCGAATATCTATACAAATTTTCATCCCCTATTTAACACGTCTAGGAAAAATTTTCAAAAAAATGTTTTGGTGCTGACTTTCGTTATGGAACTCTTATACAAAATTCCATGCTTCTAGACCCAGCGATTCAGGTTGTGCGTTGTCCGTCAGTCAGTATATGTTAGAATTTTCAGTAGATGACTCTGCTAATTGTAAATAGAATTTTTAAGGATTTTATATATCTGCACACTGCTTCGTAAATGATTTAGTAAAAGTGAAAAGCTTGACTTCGTATAGCGTAACTGATGAGCGTAACTGATGAACTGATGAGCGTAATGACTGATGACTTAAATAAATACGTAACAAAATAAGATAAAAACAAAACAAAATAAAAAAATGAAATCTTTTAATCTAGCTGAACATGAACTGTGCTTAATTAAAATATTAATCAATTCTAAGTACTCGATCTTTATTGGTTAGCGAGAAACTTAAAGTTGAAAAAGCAAATCATCTACATAACTATCGCTTTAATTGCGGAGTGCACTTAAGGAACTTCCTTTGCTAATTAGTTTCAAAGCGACCACAGCCCTTTGTGAATTTTAAGCTTCGGTAGTCTAACGGCCAATTTAAATAGTAGCGTGTATGTAATCTGAAATATTAAGGATTTTCATATAGTTGGCTAAAAATTTGTAATTTAGTTGCTAATCAGATAGGAAAATGGGTTGAACACTGCACGTAATGAATTTGTGCTTTCATAGTATCCATAGCTTGCTGCATCAAGTTTATAAATGAGTAGTTTTTAATTGAGACCGATTTTATATTTTTTGCTATTTACAAAGAACTTCTCAATTTATATAAAATCGCTCTCAACTTCTTGAACAAACAATTATATTTAAGAACTTTTCTTGTACATTAAAAAACTTGTCTGCTATCATCGTCTCGTAACTTAGAAAATACAAGAAAAAATAACGTTAATATTTGACTAGGCTGTCACGCTACGCGACGTGTTGAGACACATATTGTATATAAAATGCAGATTTTTTTCCCTTACATGTTGGAACAAGATCTTCTCTTAATATCCTTGTTGTTGTTATACTTGCCTTTACGGGTCAGACATAGTCACGCCTTACTCTTAATTGGAGAGCCGGCCGTAGAAAAATCCTATGGGTCAGAAACACATATGGATCAAATCAGATAGTATTGGTATATGCCTAAACAAAGTCATTTTTTTAATTATCTAATTTTAGCTACATGCAATGCAAATTACGCTGTCAATAATTCCTGTTATGATTTTTAGCATTACCTTATTTTATATGATACATCCCTGCTTATTTATAGTCTACATGAGCCAAAACAAAAGTGATGTCGAAGTGGAACCGATATTTTTATTTTATTTTTCTTTAGTTATTGATTCTAGAGATCTATAGTTAACTTGTTTTCTTTGACATTTAATTTAAACGCCTCAGTTTCAAATGCAATGATGATAATCTTATGATAATATTTTTATTCTATTTTATTAATTGGATTATACATCAGAGCTTTTTTTGTTATACATTGATTAATTAAATATTTTTTTTATTAAAAAACTAGACCAAAACTATTATAAACACGATAATTTTTATAATATTTTTATAATATGTAAAATCTACAGCAAATAAAATGTCCACACGTCTGATCCATAGGTCTTTTATACTATCGTCTCTTGAACTATTTGAATCGTAGTGGTGGATATAAATATAAAATTTGTATGTTCAATAACAAAGATTGCATTATGCAATAATCGAAGCCGATGTGGGTTTGATTCTTGTTGTACACTCCAAGAATCTGCTATCAATTCTAATTTTAATATAAAATTTAACAAAGTCAATTTTTATTACGAATTTAAGAAAATAATCGCAATCAAAATGTATATATGTACATTGTACATGGCAACACATTGTATATTCAATAAGAATACTTCTTAAAATTAGGCGCAAGCTAAATTATCATAATATTATGTCGACTCAGTAAAGGGTTCTATTCATTTTCACGTGACTCCACGAGGAACACTTAATGTGACATTCGTGCTCCTAATCAGGAATAACAAGTCGAGTGGTGAGGGTGAATTGTTTTTGAAAATAATTGTTTGTACAACTGTGACTAGCTTATGTACATTATATGGGTAAGCGTAGACTTATCAAAAATAATTTTATAAAGGTGTACGCAAAAAAAATATTACGTAATATAATAAATACATACAAAATATAAAAATAAGTTTACGTAAATACAAAAGGAACACTTGAAATAACGAAACATTATTAATTTTTCTTTTAATCGACGCTTATACATCTGGTGCATATTAAAAACAAAAGAAAAAAAAATATTTTTGCAAGAGCAACACAGTGTGCTTCTTTTGTTATAAGAATTTTAATTAGTACCTGCGCTTACCCATTATCGAGGAAATAAACTATACACACACACATACTACAGATTAACTGATATTTCAATGCAATACATTTAGAAAATGTTATTTAGAGCGGTGTCAACACGGATGGTGGCAGGAATGTGGTGGTTTTTCACATTGATCATGATATCTTCCTATACTGCTAACTTAGCCGCCTTTTTGACTGTCGAACGAATGGACTCGCCTATTGAAAGTGCTGAAGATTTAGCAAAGCAGACCAAAATCAAATACGGAGCACTGAAAGGAGGATCTACGGCTGCATTTTTCAGGGTAAAATTATCATAATTTTTATTTGTTCCACATAAAGTTTATTTTTAGAGATTTCACTAAAATTTTACGATTCATCCGATAGTAATTTGATATGCACTAACATAAATTTTTAAAAGTCATAAAATAGTTATAGCTGAAATGCTAATTTGCTTTCGTATTTTATTACAATCTTGTAATATTAAAACTGTCTCGGTTATCTATCTAGCCAGTTGTTAATTATTTACACAAGAGATATCGGGATTTTCTGTAATAACTCTCAATAACAAAGTCGAAGTTAGGTGGTTTTTATTCCATAGTCGGCCCACTTCGGTGGGCGGTGTAAGTTGCGGGTTACTCATGGTACTTCTCTAATAGCAGAGTGGACTGTTGGAGCAACCCCATGGTTGTTGTGGTCTGCTTCGGCAGGTCTGCCATCGGGGCATCGTGGTTGAGTGCGTAAGCGATTCTACGACGCCCCATTATGACGGGGGAGATCATCTTGGGTCTTTGTACGTAGTAAGCTTTGCCGTGAGTCCCAACATAACCATCTGTATGCGTGCAGATGGTATGACCGTATGCGTAAATGCATTTCCGAACGTTAAAAAAAGAAGTTTTTTCATTCCATGCCTCAGAAAGCAAAATGTAAAGAATACGATCCCGCATCGGACCTCTCTGTGGTCGTATTAGCTAGAGTACAGTTGTGTTTGCACTCTCAAACGGTTTACACTAATACCACTGAGACACGTATGTAGGTACATGTTACATACAAATATTAAAGTACATGTAAAAACGGCGAGTATATAAAGTACCCATATGTAAAAACGATAGTAACTGATTAGGAAGACATTATAGTATTTAATTGTAAGCTTTTCTTACCTAGGATTCCAACTTTTCAACTTATCAACGAATGTGGTCATTTATGGAATCTGCTCGGCCCTCGGTATTTACAAGCAGCAATAAAGAAGGAGAAGAAAGAGTAATGAGAGGAAAAGGTGCTTATGCTTATCTAATGGAATCAACGACCATTGAGTATGTGGTCGAAAGAAATTGCGATCTCACACAAGTTGGAGGGATGCTGGACTCCAAAGGATACGGTATTGCTATGCCACCAAGTAAGTGAAATTAGTTTTAAGGCGTATATTTACTTAAATGAAATTAATATAATTGATAAAATTAATAAATAAATAAGTTTATTTTCTATTCACACGTGAAACAAAGTAGGTTATTTAGGTTAGACCAAAAAGAAAAGTATTCCGTTCAAAAATATTCATAACGTCGAAGTTTATCGATGTTTCTTGTTTTGTTTTCCTTACTACAGAATTTACTCAGTTTCCTCAATATAATGATGTATACGGCCTTCATGAATAGCAAAACACCAGCTGATATTTTTTTGTTTCCACTTACCTGAGCCGGTTGTAGTCAGTTTTAGCTTAAAATTTTATATTCACCAATATCTGATAAAAAATAAAATAACTCTAAATATTTTGAACAAAAGTTCAGCAATTTGGTTTCCAAAACTTAAATATGTAATACAGAATAATTCAAATTTTTAAACCACTAATAGCTACTAACAAATTATAAACATTACGAATATATTTGTCAAAAAATATTCAAAAGGAATAGCTTTGCCTGGTTAGAAAAGTACGGCAAAATGCATATTACTTCCGGTCATGGGTCTAACGTATGCCTACGTTTGTAGACTCACCATACCGTACGGCCATAAGCGGGGCTGTTTTAAAACTGCAAGAGGAAGGAAAATTACACATATTAAAAACAAAATGGTGGAAGGAAAAACGCGGCGGTGGATCCTGTAGAGTACGTAAAACTTTTTTCTGTTGATTTTAATTTTACAAACAACCTTTCAACTTTTTATTACAATCTTGAGTGGATCATGAACAAAAGTTATTATATAATTAAAGCAGTACAGACTCGCCTTATTGTAATATGTTTACTATAAGATGAATAACTAGGTACCATAGTTAATTTCTAACTAAAACTAAATTCAATTTTATGTTCTGGTTCTTCTGTGGATAAAATGCACAATAGTTATAGTAAAATAAAATCCTACTGCGTAAATGTTTAAATAAAATGTTTCTAAAGCAATTTATTTCCACAATGGTCACTACTGTAACGTTGTGATATTAAATGAACCCAACCAAGTTTTCATTTCAGGCGGTTTTGCCTTAAAATAGAAATCGTCGCTAAATTAATATTTGGCTGAACATTAATTAGTAATGGAAGGCCAAATTTTATTAAATGTGTGAACTTGAACACTGATTTCTTTAGACACTTTTAGTACAATACAGTTAGTTGACAGGGAATTCATATTTTATTATTTTAACCCATTATAGAACCAGTTGGTGGAATCAAATTGCTGTTTGAATCCGCACAACTGTGTACACTTTTATTACGAGTTTTATTTTTAACCCAAGAATAAGACACAATAAAGGTATATACAGATAATAGAGACACAATAAAAACATAGACATAACTTTGTATGAAAACAAATATCTATAAAATGTGCCATAATATTTTGAAGTTCTATAAATACCAGTTACTCTTGATATATTGTTTTAATAGATAAGTGACTTAAAAACAACAAAATAATAAAATCAGAAAGAATCAAAGATTATTGCTGGTTTTGAAAAACTTTTATATGTAGTACAGTAAAATAACTGTACAAAATTAAACATATTATTTAAATAACAATAGTATTTTTAGCAAATGATTATAATATAAGGACGATAAGATCAGGTTTTGTGTTAGGCGGGCCTACTGAAGTTTTCATTAGTAAAAAGGAAAAAGTAGATCTATATTTTATTTATGTTCCACGTTATTTTACTTGGAAAGGGAATAGGAGGAACGTGACATCTCACTTTTCTATTTTTTTCTACCCATGCCAATTGCCACTTGATTGATTGTAACGCTGTTACTTGTCTTACCTTGGTCGCACATATGTACATGTATAAGTTATTGACAAATACATTACCCCTGTGAACTAACTTTATTGCATAATATTCTGTAGGGCCCGCTTGTTGAACGTAGCAAATGCGGTAAATAATTTAAAGTATTATGTATGTAAATACTAATCAGCCTTCAATACGATATAAGCGATATACATATGTATAATGCCGTCAACTAAGAAATGAAATAAAAATTTAATTGAAAAATTTATAATAACACACTACAATACAATTCATAAAAAAATTCCAAAGCAGGATGAAACATCGAAGTCTTCGTCAACTGCCAACGAACTGGGCCTAGCAAACGTAGGAGGAGTGTTCGTGGTGCTCATGGGAGGGATGGGGGTGGCGTGTGTAATAGCAGTCTGCGAGTTTGTATGGAAATCACGAAAAGTCGCGGTAGATGAACGGGTATGTTTACTTTATACACTTTAATATTATAGAATGTTCCCTCTTTATTTTATTTTAGTTTTATTCAAAAGTGTTTTTAGTAGTCGTTGCTTTAGTTATCGTAAAGTTTAAATGAAAAATAAATTTAAATATATCGCAGTATATTTTATATATACGAATGATTTTGTTACATCAGGTTCTAATTTTTATTCAATTTTACATCTCACTACTAACTTTGTAACTCGAGCTAAAAATACATATATTAATGGCATTTACTTAAGGAAGTAATGTCATATTAGTTTATTTTTTTATAATTAATTATTTAGGAATTCGTTATTATTATGCGAAACTAATTGTAATTTATTAACCCTCCAATAAGGGAGACTAAAAGTTTGTTTAACAACATCTTAAATAAACAGTTTATAAAATTTCCATAATATAAAACAATCCTGTTGTATTTTCTTGATCTTGACTTAACCGGTGCACCTATTTATTTCAAATCATATTGTTTGACGTCAATAATGAAAACACTTTACTTTGTTCTAGGTTTATTTTTAAATATTGGTAAACTTTTTAACATATATTTTAGTGGCTAGATGAAGTAGAATTAAAATGTATTGTTTATTATATAAATATGCAACAATAGTCACAATTATAATTAACATACGTACGTGCTATATATAACGCTATAAGGGCTAGTAATATTTAATTATGTAAATTAGCAATTAACTGAAACGAAACGCTAGATAACAAGAAATTCAAAGCGTCCTTAATAACAATATTAATTCATTATCTTTCCATTCCATCATCCTGGATGGCAGAAGGAAGAGGTAAGTAAATGTTTCACTTTCTTTAGTCTTAGTCCCCAAACGCATTCATATTTCATAATTAATTTGTTTGTTCAGGCCTCTCTTTGTTCGGAAATGGCGTCCGAGTTGCGTTCCGCGCTGAAGTGCCCGAGTGGGGGTAGCGGGGGTGCGGGCGGGACGCGCGAGGGGGCCGACTCACCCTACTTGCACTACGGATTCAGTACGAAAAGTCAGTTGCACTAGCAGGAAACCGCCTCGTCGCCCCCGAGCGACGTGTAGGCAGAGACTCACTTGATCTCAAGTCTGGTTCAAAAACAAATTTAAGCTAGTTCCTTATAAATGTCAAAACATTTTGAACCTTATTAGGAAATGGTGGTCTGAAATGTTTTTGAATACATGACGTGGTGTTGATTTGCTTGCCCTGAAGGGTGAGATGATAAAGACTCTTTTGATCCTAGTTTCTTAAGGTTTTTCCTGATGCCCTAATACTTTTTTTAATTTGTTTTTGTTCCAAAAATTGGTGAAATAATTTCATAATTAATAGCAAAATATAAAATAGTATGTCAAGTGAAGATAAATTAACTCAAATAAAACAAAATATTGTTTTAAAATGTTATAACACATCAGTAAACATATTATATTTCGAATATTTACCATATTTTTTATATTTTTATCATTATTTAAGGCACCTAGGATAGTATTTGAAACAAGTGTCACTTGATAATGCGATGACACGACGTTAGCATGTAAATAAACCATATCGTATAACGGTTTAAGGTACAATAATATTGTTGTGAATTTTAATTGTCTAAATGTGTTTAAGAATTGATTTCTGGTTTGCCAAATTGATAAATTGTGCCAAATGTGCGAC